ACCCGAAAATATATTCGAGGTGAGATCGTTCCTTTGCCTTGCCAGTTATTACCGATGCTTCATTAAAGATTTTGCATCAATAGCTAGGCCCATCTCCGATATCCTGAAAGGGGAGCATGGAAGTGTCAGTAGGCACAGATCCAAAAATATCCAGGTGCAATTTAGCGAACAGCAACTGCTTGCTTTCCAAAAGTTGCGTAACATTCTGGCTTCAGAGGATGTCATCCTCAACTACCCTGATTACAAGAAGGCATTCGATCTAACGACGGATGAATCGGCATTTGGCATTGGCGCGGTACTATCCCAAGAGGGAAGACCCATCACCATGATATCTAGGACCTTAAAAGACCGAGAAGTTAACTACGCTACTAACGATCGTGAACTGTTAGCCATAGTCTGGGCACTGGCAAAATTACGCCATTACTTATATGCAGTAAAAGATATAAATATCTATACTGACCACCAGCCATTGACATTCGCAGTATCGGAATCCAATTCGAATGCGAAAATCAAACGATGGAAAGCTCGCATCGACGAGTCCGGCGCCAAAATGTTTTATAAGCCCGGCAAAGAGAATCTCGTTGCGGATGCCCTCTCCAGACAGCAACTTAACGTTGTGGAGGCGGAAGAAGCTTATTCGTGTGCGGCCACTATTCTCAGTGAAGTGTCGCTCACACACACCATCGAAACCACGAATAAGCCATTGAACTGCTTTCAGAACCAGATAACTCTGGAGGAAGCACGCTTTCCGTCTAAACGCAGCTTCGTGCTCTTCGGAAACAAGAGACGGCACAGCATTGACTTCATATGCAAGGAGCCACTGCTTGAGGAGCTCGCGGACGTTAAAGTCCCCAAAGGCGTAAACGCCATTCATTGCGATCTGCATGCGCTGGCAATGATACAGGATGAATTGGTCCGGCAATTCCCAGCCACCAAATTCTGGCACTGTAAGAACCGTATTACAGATATTTTCGCAGTCGCTGAGAGACGAGAAATCCTCACCACTGAGCATAATAGGGCTCACAGATCTGCACAGGAGAATGTCAAGCAGGTACTTTCGGAATACTATTTCCCGAAAATGACCAAGTTAGCGAATGAAATCGTCACTAACTGCAAGACCTGCGCTAAAGCAAAATATGACAGGCATCCTAAAAAACACGACCTCGGCGAAACGCCAGCACCGTCGCATGTGGGAGAAATGCTACACATAGACATTTTCTCCACTGATAAGAAATACTTCCTCACATGCATTGACAAATTTTCAAGCTTGCAATGGTCCAACCAATTCTCTCTAGAACAATAGAGGATCTCAAACCGGCTTTACTACAACTTCTTAACGTCTTCCCTAAAGCCAGAGTCATTTACTGCGACAATGAACTCTCATTGAACTCGCACACCATTCGGGCCATGCTGGAAAATCACTTCGGGGTTAGCATTTCAAATGCACCGTCACTCCACAGCGTCTCGAACGGAAAAGTTGAGCGATTCCACAGCACTCTGGCGGAGCTTGCCAGATGCCTTAAAATCGACAAAGGCATTAGCTACACTGTAGAGTTGATCTTACTGGCTTCGTCTAAGTGCAACAAGTCTATCCATTCGGTCATCGATAAGAGACCGGCCGACGTGGTAGTCACACAAGCAAGTGACCCGCATTGCGATATACAGGATAAGATAAGACTTGCCCAAAATAAGCTGAGAAGCAGGGAAAATACCTCCCGACAAAACCGAGTGTTCAATGTCGGCGACAAAGTCCTAGTGAAATCCAACAGGAGACTAGGCAACAAGCTTTCACCGTTATGCGAAGAAAAAACTGTGGAAGCGGACATGGGGAGTCCTCATTAAGGGGAGGGTGGTCCACAAGGACAACCTTCGGTAGGCGAGACACAAACATGTTGTCATTCGCTTGATAATTTTGTACTATTTTTTCCATTTTTTATCTCTAGCCACATGGCATAAGTTTTTGTCCTTATCATGTTTTATTACCATTATTTGTACTCATAACTCATTTACCCTTTATCTCATATGTTTGGTGGTGGGCTACCCAAATGTTATAAAATACTACAACAAATCCAAAATTACAGGTTTAAACCCATACCTCTGCTATTCCTTTTTGCCCTGACATCGGCGCACGTCACGTCGCAAGCCAAATACATTCCCATCATTGATGGACGAATTTTAGTATGGGAAGAACTCGCATATTTGAGACACTCAGCGAATCTCTCGGAGTATAGGCGCGTGGTGGAGGAAACTGGTGGCATGATTAACATGTTTCCCCAGTTCCACATGCAAAAGCTTTTGATCGTAAATGTCGGTCACCTGCGTGACCTTCTCGAATCACTGAGCATCCACCATAGGGTAGCCAGGATTTTAGACTTCTTGGGAGCGGCGTTAAAAGTAGTGGCGGGAACGCCAGACGCGGAGGATCTCGAAAACATTAAACTTACTGAATTTCAACTTATCAATGCAAACAATAGACAGATAAATATTAACAACAAAGTACAGGAACAAAATCAATAGTATTACCACCACTGTCAACCAAATTCTGAGGTCGGCTAAATAATCCCAAGTTGATACGGGACACCTATACGAGATGTTATTATCTCGGAATAGGATGATTGCGATGGAGCTGCAGAATTTATTGCTAGCAATAGCTCTTGCCAAAATTAATATAGTTAGCCCCAGCAAATTAGATCATGCAGACCTGGAAAGTGTGTGGATCGAGGAGCCCACAGATACCCCCATTAGAGATATACTGTCCGTTGCGTCTGTCAAAATATTACAATCCGTTAACATTTTACATTTCATTATTAAATATCAGCATGTGTCAAGATCACAGTTTTTCCCGTGTCACACCATGACACAATACTCAGGCTGGAGGACAAGGTCATAGCAGATTGCAACGGAGAGATTCACACAGTCAAAAACTGCTCCGTGTCACCTGGAGCCACATTTTGTCAACTGGCGCTGAGAAGATCATGCGGCCAAGAACTTCACGCTGGGGGTATTGCGCACTGCGATATCCAACATAGCGATTTGCACCCTATCACCCACGTAGATGAAGGCATTATCATCATAAACGATCGCCCGGCTTGTGTGAGGGTGGACAATGGCACTTACGTCCACTTACGAGGAACTCACCTCATCACCTTCATTGAGAGTGCCATGGTTATCGAAACCCGTTACGTCAATCACTACGTGGCCCGGAAAGGGTACCAGGAGTGGATAGCTCGCCTTCCCTGAACATCACTCTAGAGCACAACATTCTCAGCCTTCCATACCTTCACCGCTTGAGTGAACGTAACTTCGAACATATTAAGCAATTCGGGGAAGATATCCACGCCTATCGTTCACACCAGCTAATGCTAATCGCAGGAGCGATCTGCTGCGCGTTGATCTGCGTCGGCCTCACTTATCGGCGAGTCACCCAGGCCAGGAGATCCACGGCCCAACTAAGGGAGGTGATTGCCCAAATAGGGTCGGCCGAGGGCGGCCTTAATTCTGAGGGGGGAGCAGTTAACTAAGTTAACCGGGCGACGGCAATGACCGATCGTCCGAAGGCTCGCTCCGGCCAAATTGCTGACACAGCGTCTGGCCGGAAGCTCGTGCATAGCCGGCAAAGACTACCCATTGGAGTGGCCGCTATGAGACTCTCTTTTGTTAGCTTTAAGTTTCAGTTTAGATTTGACTTTATATGAATAAAGAGCTGTCGCTCATATAAATTATACTCCGACAACCATCGTTAAATTCTTATTACTGAAAAACTGCCTGAGTCCTTAGGCCAGCAGGTAAAGAAGGGCAGTCACCCTTCCAACATAATCTTCGTAATTCATCTTGGAGAATTCTACGGCCAGCCGGCCAACTACCACAGCGGCGGACCTTGCCACCCGCACCCCCCTGGATAAGCTGCAACTGCGAGGGACGACCCGTGGGATATTTAAATATTTAATTTGCACACATACATTGGTCGGGTGTCGCAGTATGCGTGCAAAAGAGCGGCTGGCTTTAGAGCGCTCTCTCGCTGGCTTTTGGGCAGAGAGCGAAAAGCCAGTTGAAAAGCCAGCACAAAAAATTCGTGTGCAAAAAAGTTGTGTGGCGTTACGCATCTTAGAGATTATATTGGTCTTTGGTCGGAGAGTTCTTCGTCACTGCATTGCAAACTTTTCACAGAAATTACTTTCTGAAAGGGTATAAGTCGAATAAATCCGGACGTTGTATATGCGTTCCATTGCGACCTTCCAACTTTTTTACAACTACCAAGTACAAAAAGCAATTTTGTATACATAGACTTATAGAATTTCTAAAAGAACACATCACACCATACAATTTTTCATTGCCGCGACTGTCCTTAATTATGATACAAAGTTAGCTTTACTGTTGTTCGGCACATTTGCAGCGCAAGCTTATGTATTTCAAAAGATAGCTACGCAGACTGTAACGCCCACAAATATGCAAAGCTCTATGGACATTGTAGAGACAGGTTGTAGATGGTATACGGTATAGTCGTTCAATATCCAACGACATACCAAACACTTTTTCAATCGAAACTTCTTCTATTATTTATTAAGATTTTAAGTGTTACGTATGTCGTCTCTCCATATCTGTGACGAACTCTTTTTAAAAATGCGAGCCATGTCAAAAGAGCGAGAAAATTGTTAGAATGTGAAGAGGATGCTGGTCGCTCGTGGCTTGCAGACTTGTCACTGCAGTTCGGCAGATAACGCCACATAAGCCCCGATTGTTAGTCGAAATGTGTCATCAACAGCTGGGTCATTTTGGTTTTGAAATTGGGTAATTATCGGGTACCTTATAGTTCATTGTTTATTCTAAAATCAAAACAAAAACACGCTGTTTTACTATAACTTAAAGGAAAGATTCGGGCCTGCCCAAGAATAAGCGGTCATATTGCATGAATGAGTTAACCGATTTGATAGAAAACTTGATTCAGTGTAAGTCGGCTATATGGCATAGGAGCCGTGCTGATAAACGTAGCCTGTAGGCTGTAAATTGTTGATCGATAAAAATAAATGCTTGCAAATGGTTCTCTCTAATAAATGGTTAATGGTTCTTTTCTGGTTAAATTAATAAAACCCAAGCCTATTTGGTAAATTATATTAATTGGTAAGTGCTGTACAAAAACTAAGTTTTCTGTGATTAAAGTTATAACAATTAATACTAGAAAAATGGTAAGAGGGTTATTAAATGAATGGTTTGTAAATATGTAGGTGTGCAATACATCGGAGTCATTCAATGCCAGGAATTAATTTGATGATTTATTGCTAAAAGGACATTTTACTATTTACATATTTGTCGGGATTGTTTATCATCGATCAATAAGACCCTAATTAAAAAGCATAGGAAAGTATTATGGCGGCATAGGACGACACGGACAGTATTAAACCGCAGATGGACCACAATATTTTCGTCGTGCAAATTACTAATACAAATAATGTGCTAATATGGCATAGTATGCGTGGTGACAACTGTATTAACTGATGTCCATTAATTGCAAGATGTTTCGTGTGATTAATAATTAATGCTGCAAAAAGACTTACTGAATAATCAAAGTGTTTATGATATTTTGTTAATTATTTTTCTTAGTGTGTATGTACATTGAAGCTTATCGGAATGACAAGTTTAGTTTTTCTGGTAAGTTTACCGATGTACATATGTACATATCTACATACAGTGGCTCACAGCTTATTTCGTGCAGACCTAAACTTGAAATTCAAAATCATAAAGCTGGCAAACTATACGAGCTCAAAGAAGTTGGGTCGGCTAAAATCGATTTTTCGAAAATTGAATAGCTTATCGTTTGCCCATAATTGCCCACTTCTTAATTTTTTTGCCCACTTCTTAATTTTTTTGCCCACTTTTAGTTTTGAAAATATGGAATCTTCGAACATTTTCGAAAACATAAAAGTTGACCTTTTCAAATTTTTTTTTTTTATCGCAAGAGAATCGTTTGCTCACGTTTGCCCATCTTTTAAAATTTTGAAAATATTAATACTTTTCAAAATATTCGACTTTTAAGTTTTGATCATATTTACCTGCAGAAAAAATTGTTTGCCCACCCCTTAAAAATCGTTTTTTCGAAAAAATAAAAGATGCCCATGTTTGCCCATCTCCTGAAATTTAAGAATTTAAAAAAAAAATCGTTTGCCCACCTCTTAAAAATAGTTAATTTTGACAAAAACGTTTGCCGATGGCTTAAAATGTGATTTCTTAACAAAACACGTTTGCCCACCCCTTAAAAATCGTTTATTCGAAAAAAAAGGATGCTCATGTTTGCTCATCTCCTGAAATTTAAGAATTAAAAAAAAAAATCGTTTGCCAACCTCTTAAAAATAGTTAATTTTGACAAAAACGTTTGCCGACGGCTTAAAAATGCGATTTTTTAACAAAAAACGTTTGCCCACCCGTTAAAAATCGTTTTTTTTTTTTAAATAAAAGTTGCCCATGTTTGCCCATCTCCTGAAATTTAAGAATTTAAAAAAAAAGTTGTTTGCCCACCTCTTAAAAATAGTTAATTTTGACATAATGTTTGCCCACGGCTTGAAAATATAATTTTTTAACAAAAAACGTTTGCCCACCCCTTAAAAATCGTTTTTTCGAAAAAATAAAAGATGCCCATATTTGCCCATCTCCTGAAATTTAAGAAAATACTTTAAAAATAATTAATTTCTTAAAAATAGTTAATTAAGATTTTGGGCAAACGATTTTTTTTTTAATTCTTAAATTTCAGGAGATGGGCAAACATGAGCATTTTTTATTTTTTCGAAAAAACAATTTTTAAGGGGTGGCCAAACGTTTTTGTTAAAAAATTACATTTTTAAGCCGTTGGCAAACGTATTTGTCAAAATAAACTATTTTTAAGAGGTGGGCAAACGATTTTTTTGTTAATTCTTAAATTTCAGGAGATGGGCAAACATGGGCATTTTTTATTTTTTCGAAAAAACTATTTTTAATGGATGGACAAACAATTTTTCCTGCAGGTAAATATGATCAAATCTTAAAAGTCAAATATTTTCAAAAATATTAATATTTTCAAAATTCTAAAAGATGGGCAAACGTGGGGAAACGATTCTCTTGCGATTAAAAACAAAAAAATTTAAAAAAGTCAACTTTTATGTTTTCGAAAATGTTTGAAAATTTTCTAAGATTCCATATTTTTAAAACTAAAGGTGGACAAAAAAAAAATTAAAAAGTTGGCAAACATGGGTAAACGATTAAGCTATTCAATTTTCGAAAATTCGATTTTAGTCGACCCAACTTCTTTGAGCTAACTATACGGAGTTTGAAAAAGATTTACACTCATGGACAAAATAATAGGTGTGTGGTTTTTCTCTTTTTTAATTTTCTGTTTCTAATTCATATCTTCTCTAATCTCAACAAATCATATTTTTTTCAATTTTCTATTAATTGTCTTAAAAAAAAAGTAAAAACAGGAGTTTTTGGAGACAACAATAGACAAAACTCTTAATTTAAACATATTAAAGTCCAATTTGCTGCAAAGTGCAGAAAATCTTGGGGATTCGTGATGACTGAAATAAGTTGTGAGCCACTGTATGTACACTTGGTTATTTTAACATCTAATTGTCAAAAACTTTATAACCGTATTAATACATCCTAAGAGTTTAAAAATTTATTTAGTTTGCAGTGACGACACAATTAACACAAAAAAATTTAATAACTTCTAAAATAATGTCGCGATTTTAAAAATGTTTGGTGGGTATATAGATATTGATCAAATAAGTTTCAAGTGTGGTGCCAACATACAAATATCGCCCAATAACTGGTCTCTATCATGTCTATAAAGATTTTCATAGTTTTTGGGCTTGGCAAATTTTTAAAAATAAGGTCCGGTGCGTACCCAGTGGCCAAAAAAAATTCCATCCATAAGTTTAACATCTCTGTTTCCACAAATAAACGAATTTTTCTCAACAAAAAAAGCTAGCACCTATAAAAAAGAGCCGTTCGCAGCCGAGCTCCGCAGAGTCCCCCAAGAAAAAAGGTTTTGCAGTGAACTGCATAGCTCTTTACTGGATCATCAGAAAAAAAAAATTGTTTATTACTTAACACTTTGAAGTCAAAAACGTGATTTTAGCCTAAAAATTCGATATATTAGTTATTATAAAAGGAACAAAAATCAATCAAAAAAACTCGACGTCAGTACCTAAAGGTTTAGGCACAGAAATAGTGTGCAACATTTCAAAACGATTCGACCAGTAGATTTTTGCAGGATCGTGTTCACCGACTTTGAAATGGCAACTTTTCACATACCCAAAAATCGAATACAAAACGAGCTAACTCACCTACGTTCAACTACCTATAACTTCGGAAGTTTTACTCGGATCAATCTAAAATTTTAACGCAATATTCTTCAAATGTTGTGCATTCAGAAAAAAAAAAATTTTTTAAATAGGAAAAAACAAATTTTAATATCATTCATAAGTTGGCGCCGCTTCCGTTATGTTGAAGCCCGATGGGTGTTCAACGGGGCCGGAAGCGGCGCCAACTTATGAATGGCCCGCCGGAAAAGGCCTCCTCCACTAGTCCACACGTCGACGACCCTGACCATGCTGTCCTCCCCTGCGTGCCTGGCGACTATTCTGCCGAGGAGCCATTGTTGGGGCGGCAGGTTGTCCTCGACTCGGCGACGAGGACGAGATCTCCCTCGCTGATGTTTGGCTGCTGCTGGAGCCACTTGCCCCGGAATTTGGAGGCCCAGGACATATTCCTGATCCAGGGTCCGGAGTGCTGGTGCTCGGGAGTCAGCGCCTCTCCGTCGCTTGGGTCGTTGCTGATCGCTCCGAGAGGCTGGGAGTTTATCACTGCCTCGATTCCCACGAGGACTGTCCCCAGCTCTTCTGCGCTTAGGAGCGAGCTCCGCCCATGTGCGGAGCCTGCGGTGGTGTGAACACAAATTCGCATCTGCTTTTTGATGCGAATTCGCGTATCGCGTCTCTTCGTCCTCTATCCTCTCTCGAAGGGCCGGAAATGGCGACTCGCTCCGACGAAGTTCGTCCCGTTGTCGCAACGGACGACTTGGGGACATCCTCGGCGCCCAACGACCTTTGAAAATCCAATAAAAAGGAATCTGTGGTTAAATCTGAAACAACTTCTAGATGAACCGCTTTGGACTCAAAACAAACGAAGAGCGCAATGTAGGACTTATACGGAAGGCCTACCACGAATTTTAAATGTATAGACAGGGCCACAAAAATCAACGCCACATTTAGCAAATGGAGAGCACGGAGACGATCTGCGGGTAGATTGTGTCATTAGTCGAGGCTTACACTTAAAGCAGCGTATGCATGATCGAAATATCTGACTGCAGACCTCCTAAGCGTTTACGATCCAAATACGCTGTCGAAGGAGACTCAAAAGGGCTCGTGGACCAACATGAAAATTGGAATGGTGAAGATGCCGAACATAGCTCTGCACAAATTGGGAGCGTTTTGTCAACAACAATGGAAACTTGGCATCGTATGATATAGGAGCATTAGATAGTCGCCCCCCCCAACTCGCAACAATGAAAAGTGACACCAAGTCCCCTTGTCATTATGGATGAATGGATTCAACCGCTGAAGACTTGGGCCACCTCTGGATCCTTTACGAACTTTTTCCCTTTCTTCATGAAACTCGTACTTCTGTAATATCTCGACAATTTTTAGAAAAGCTTCATTATATTCAGTCGGCGACAACGTTTTTTCAAATACCATACTTTTGTCTTTGCATTTCCTTATGAAGCGGAACATATAAACGAATACCCGAATCAGTTTAAGGTGTGACCGAAAATCCTTCGATGTCGACATCGTAGCTCAGTCCGACCGCAGTCTTCCTCGATTCTTGCGGTAGGACTTCTTTATCTAGGTCCAATTTGAAAAACGTGAAGGTTCTGTAAACCATATTGACCATATGAATTTCGTCGACGTCAGCATCCTTTTGATCCAATAACCACTGTGTTCTGTTTCGTTGGAACCTGCCTTAATAGGGGCTTCACCTGACCACTCTTGAATTTCCGCAAATCTATTCGATACGAATGTAGACAATGAAGATGGATGAGACCGGATCCAATGAAGCGTAACTTCATAATCCGACCAATAAACTATTCGTTC